GAAACATCGAATGTTATTATTTCTGAAACAATTTGAAAATAATATCCACTTATAAGTTAGTCGAATCCATTTAAATATTAAAAGTGCTCAAAATGTATGTAAAGTCACATGTAAAGAAATCGGATGAGACTTGGTTTAGGAATTACCTTAATTCAATTTGAGCGAACGGATGACCTCGCGAAGAGAAGCGAAGGAGAAAAAGCGGAGAGGTGACACTCCTATAGTTTCGCATGGTGAATACGCACATTTTCGCCAACTTAAAACGTTGCCATTTCGCGAAATTCCTGCAGAAGTGCTCAAATTTCATACTAACATTGTTTGTGTTTAGTTCCTTGAGATTTTTTAAAGTGCTAGTTTCAACAAGATTTTCCGTGCGAAACATGTCTGACATGTGCAGTTGTACAGTTTGGTTTTCATAAGGAACGCGACCGCAACTCGATGGATCTCCGTAGAGCGCCACTCGAGAACGGACAACCTCCATCCATGCTTGTCGTTGGGTCCTCCTTTGGGAATCGCCACTTTGGGTGCCACCCCGCTTATGAGAATTAAAACGGAGGACATTAAACGAAGAGTGGAACGGGAGCGAGGCCGCCACAGTTGGAAACGTTCGGACACGGCTCTACCACTTATGCTCTCCTGCTGCAGATTGACAAGGGCAAGGGGAAGGACAGGCCAGAACCCGAGACATTAGCTTGCACGTTGCATGAACTCCTACCAACGCGAATGTAAGTACTGTCCAGCAAAAGACAGGGAAATGTACATAACGCAAAAGATTGAACTGCAAATTTTGGTGGGCAGAACCTTTTAAAAATTTAAAAGGACATGGATTTTAGAATTTTTCACTGGCATGAATGAATTCATGGGATTAACTTCGGCTCGTATTTTGCAAACGTTAATGCCAAATATTACAATGCACAATGTAGAAATTACACAGTTCCAAAGCTTGTGTTAATGCATTATGTCCAATAATTTAATTACGCACTTGTTAAGATTGTGCATTATTATTAAATACAAATTGTGTTCACAGGACGAGTTAGGAATCTGGGACTCTTTCAAGTGGCCACGCATACATTAATCTCTGAGTTTCTCCCCAAGTAAAGTGATTCAACGATGTGACATTGAAAAGAAGGACGCTCTCTACAAACGGAACACGAAATTAGAAATACACACAAAAATAATCGCTTAAAAGTATTATACAAATACACCCTTTCACTCCCTCCTCTCCAGAAATATACTATAAGTGAAGGATTATATCGCCACCTTTATACATGCACAAATGTAAATTTTGTACTATGGGTTTAATCAACTGCCTTCGACAAAAATTACGACGATGAATATGTGCCAAGGTATACTTCAACAAAGTTACAACCAAATTGTGGCATGAAATTCCTGCACCATTTTAACATTCCCGATCCAAACCAAACCATATACTTATTTACTTAAATAATCTTGCCGAAACCGAAAAAGTACCTGTTTTGTTCTGAATACACAATCACAACACCTTTCTTACTTTTTATGTTACATGATTCTTATATAAATATATTAACAATAAAGAGACACAGATAATTTACAAATTGAGATTCTTGACTTATTTAATAGCTGCATTTAACTGGTTGAGAATATTGGTCATTTATAAAAACATTTCTATACTTCGTTTCCTGTATAAAAATAGTATTAAGACTACGACATTATAATTTGGAGTAGTTTTACGTGGTAACTTATCGTTATCTAAGATATCTGTAACGCTAAATAATCCACGCACCAATTTGCAACAATGACAGAAATATGAGCATCAACTCTAGTGGATTATGTTTCAGCAATTTTTTATCACAGGTTTTGTTATAAGTAAAGCAAATAATAGTCATTTAATTGAATTCTGTGTCTGTATTTTTCAAGTTCTTGTGCATATTGAGATCGACTGTTTGGCAACAATTCAGACCATCAGGTTCATAATAGCATAATATAGTCGCGACTGAGGTCTGAATATTCACTTGCAATTGATTCGAGTATTTTAAAGTCATCTGCATTTTCATTTCTGTACTTAAATTAAGCATAATCCTCCATGGTTAGCATATTAAATCTCGCCACATTAGACATCATCGTCAATTTCTTTCCTCTCCGTAGTCAAAAAGGTCAACCTTCTCTAATAAGCGTTCCGAGCATAGATGTCATAACAGAAGATCATTCCTTGATGTGGGGCTTACTCATTCCGGATCGTTGCATCGATCACGCGCTTTCCCACGAGTATCGACAGTCACCCACGAGATGGTTTGGTCATCTGACGAAGTTGGCTTAAGTGATCGAAAAAGGGGAATCTGAAGTTTCAATTACGGCATACTTTCTGGGTTAAGCAGGGCTGTCAGGGAGCAGACGGCGAGAAACGAGCTGGATACATGTTAAAAAAATATACAATTAAGATTGTACTTACACTTCCAGAAGTTTTGGTGCAACCAAAAGACCGGGACCAAATTAAAAAATATATATATTCGGAATCAATGAATGGGATGTACTATGAGTGGGTCTGTTTTTCCAAAAATATGCCTACAGATTTCTTTTGGAAATTTTTTTTGCCAACTTTACATGACTCATCAAAGGGCTTTATTTTAAATTAATATTTTGCTTGGCCTCCATTCGAAGCCGCTCTTCATTTCATTATCCGCTAAATGGGTATCCTCCACAGCGAGACAGATGTTGCTCAAGACCGTGTTCATGCTAGTTCCGAGCATGGACGCGGGCTGAAATCGTTTTTAGCCCGAGGAAACACTGTATTTCTTTTAATAATTTTGTGAAATCTTCACTGCCATGACAAGCGATCACCACTTCGTCCTGACAATTGAATAATATAATAATTTTGAACAAATAATTATACAAATTGAGAAAGCAATTTAATGACAAATTTAACTACCAGAATACTATGACTTTGCGTCGCGACTCTTTACTCCAACCAAATACATTGCGAAATCATAGTTTGAAAAATACAGCTAACCCGAACGCAGATTCCAGGATTCTGCAAAATAATTATTCAAATTATTAACACTAAGAATTACAAGATCTATAATGTCTTTCATGCTCTTCAATTACTTTGTAATCTGAACCGTTTCGATTGTTCTAGCAAGTCGTACACAAGATTCACAAAGCTGAAAATATCACTACGGCTTCCTCAATGGTGCGTTGTCGGTGGACAACATCATTGTAAAGACGTTGCCACAACGCGATATCATTATACCGACCCTATAATTAATTAAGATTACATTACATTATTTATGTTTCTTTACAATAAAAGATTGTAAATATGCTTAACCAATTTGTTGACATATTTCGAAATCTGAACTAATCATACCTTTGATTCCTTGATTTGATCAGCCAGCGAACTCATCACTCTTCACACCGCGTTGGAAATTGGTCTGTTACACGCACAAAGACGTCTGAGACATTTCGACAAGGCCCACGACCAGCTTTGCCCTCACATAGTGGGCTGGATTGGCGTGGGAGAAGGCGCAGTTCTTGAACAGATATGAGACACGGTATCTATTATCTCGGTGTACCTGATCATTCTTTCAATATGTAACAGTTTCCATTGTAGACCGCTTGTGCTGCGACAATCGCGCTGCGCTGTACCGATGGGTTGGTCGGTTCGGAGTGAAATCGAGCTACTTTATTGACAACCGTAGCCAATAATAAGTCCGCTAAAAACTGAGAAAGAATTATAAAATATATCTTCTATCTCCTTCGCAATGCAATCATGCAATTGAAGCTGTGCAAATATTGAAAATTGGTAATGAAAACCGACTGAACTTCTCGAGGAGTTTAAAGGCGTGTGTGCTCTTAATCTTTGGTTTCACTCAATGGTAGTTATTTAGAGCTAAAGATGTCTTATCTGACCAACTTAACTATAGATCAAGAGCATCAAAACCATGGCCCAATTTCCCACGAAATATATCAAGGAGGCAACACTCCAACTCCGGTCCTTTAATAAACGTCAGTGTAAATTTTGACAGAGCGAGGTTCGACTGAGTACTTATTCATAACCAGAGTGGACCTCTGCAAATACGAAGACGACACGTTTTAATTACCGAATGATTCACACTATTATGCATTATCTGGGTGATTATTTCTTTACCGTTCCGCCTGTCTCAGATGGAACTTTTCGACTAGCTCTGAAGCCATCTGGATGGCGTTGAGGCACTTATTGCACCGACTTCTGGCAAGACTTGTAAGGACTGTTTGACTAATTATTGAGAGTTCCAGAACGAACGGAGCTACATTTTTCAACAAGGTATCCGCATATCGATAACGTTTTCCAAAGTGTAGAACAGTTCGCGACGTGGTAAGATGCCGCGTAGATATTCCCTATGTCTTGAAGCAAACTCATCAACGCGATCCTTCAAGCTAAATACCACTTAAAAATTCCAAGACAATCAATCGAATCCGTTCCAAGACTTATCCGGGAATAGTTATTGCAACCTGTGAGGAAGACTTATATCAGTGATAACTCCAGTTATTGGCGTCGTCACATGATCTCCAGTCCGGCAAGAGAGGATATGGTGCATAATAATTCAAGCGCTGAGCACCAACGGGCTTGCAAAATATGGCTGGGTTCAGAGGATCCCTGCCTTTACGACAAAGGTGTCGGCGCGACGAGGGTGAGAGGGACTGTGTTGGAGGTGCGGCAGGTCCTGGGTGGCCAAAAACGTAAATGTCGGCGAAATGCCGATGGCGTGGGGTGGGGAAGGCCAATAGGCTGGACCCCATGGTATAGAGAGGAGAGAGAGAAAGAAAAATTATGTGCATACTTCGAACAAACTACGTTTTGTACAATAGAAAACACTAATCAAAGATTAGCAAAGAAGATCCGCAACAAAAATTTGCAACTTTGCAAATCGCTATGAAATATGTGCTAAACTCAAGCTAATAGGAGGATAATCACACCTTGTTTACCAATTATCTGCAATTCTACAATTTTGTTCACGTCATGATGAAAAGTCTACAAAATGTACTTACTAAATGTGCTGAACGTAGTATGAGGGCACATAGACGCCCGGCAGCTGCATCATTGGATGATGAACCAGGAGATCGTAGGAATCGGAACGGTAGCCTGCATCGGGATCCCATTGATCAAATATGGATTAATTCATGCTGCTCTGTACTACTCTATCGCATAACCGCTTATCTTCTTCTACCAAATTCCCTACACTGCGAGACAGGAGACTCTTAAACCGAAAGCGAAAATGAAAACTACAATTCCCAACTACGATTTACAGTAACATTTCAACCCCACGACTATTATGAAAATAGTTTTTTGTGACAAGGACGATTAGAATTAATGTAAAGTGGTGCTGGCTGAGAGGTGCACGTTCGTTAAAAATCGTTTTGTTTTTTGTCAACGCCAATTTGTTTGTTTTTTTTCTGCGATGTTGATAGTAGTCGATTGAGTCAAAATCGATTAATTGAACATTTTTTTTATAATTGGTGATGATTATGAGCAATAAATATTATTCAATAATAAATAATGATTAAAATAATAACAAGAATTTTTGTTATTTTAGTCTTGTAAAATAAATAAAAATTAATAAGTGTTGTTTCTTAACGGTGAGTTGATGTTGTTGTTGTTCATACAAAAAAACGAGTATGCAGATAATGCTCAACAGTTTAAAAATATTAAATTAATTAATTAAAACGTAATGAAAGCGTCGTTGGGTTTTGTTTTGTGTGTGGAATAAAATTAAATAATTAAATATTTCTATATATAAAAACAACAATTAGCCCGTTATACAAATTTGGCCGGCAGTGATGCTGATGACGATCATGATATAATGATGATGAGATACCCATATTAAATAAATAATAAAATCGGAATCGTACGTATCTATGATAAGGAAGAGTAGATAAGCAAATGCATACTTCATAATAACCCTGTTTGTAGTTTTTTCTTTTTGTCTCGATTCTGCTTCTTCCGACCAGAGAAAACCTGTCTTGTCTCACTTTCCCATCAACGAATTATGGCATAATTAGTTAATTAAAGTCTTAAAAAGTGCATAGATAGAGTGGTAATAGCAACTTATCACGTCTGATGGTTAGGTTATTTATAAATAGATCATCAATTTATATGTCCGTCCATCCGTCCGTCGGTCGGGGAGGACTTAATAAGATAAGCGAGGTCTCTGATTTCAGAAAAATACTCAAGTCTTGATTCCGTCCCCAATACACATAGAGACTTTTTCCAAGTTAAATATCCAATAATTATAATTTTAGTACTTGTCGCCTCTTCCAATAATTAATTAATTAATTAATCAACTAATTAACTAACTAACCCTTTCTTTTTCAATCAGAGTAGTTTTTTCCTACTAGAGTCTGGCAGTGACTGGCTTGGCTTGTAGGGTTTTCATTTTAAGTGCCACCCTGACTTTAAACACTCGGAAAAAGTAACAAACGACCCGAAAAGCTGAACACACCCCACAAACCTAGACTTATCCACTTACTACCTGCCTAACTAACTATGTACTTATCCAGTAAATATGTGATGATATAGCCCCTTCGATTTCTTGTATACCCTATAAAATAATGCGTTTTGTGTCTCGTCTACCTATCCACTCCAGGCCGAAGGAATTACATAAATGCGACGACGATGCTATGCCCCCTCCGAAAAAGAGGAGAGAGAGCGAGAATATGTAAAAGTAGTTACAGTTGTAAAAACATTCTTCTCCTCCTGCGCGACGACAAACTAATCACACGATAACGAACGTACGAACCAACTACGGCTACTATTTTTTTACGACTACTACATATCTACAGACACGGGAGCGATTGATGCGATGATGAGTTGACTCTCATACTCATTATCAAATTACTACCCTAATTAACAACCATAATAAATAAGGAAATCAAATTGCATTATTGTTCCTGTGTAAAACCTGAGAGGCAGCCTTGTTTCGGCACAATATCATCATAATTGTGTGTATCCCTCGTAAATAATAAAGTCACAAGTTCTACTACTCTAAATGTGTTTAGGGCAGTTTTTGTATCCTCGATTTTTGGATTAACGTCATCCCCACGTTTCTGGAGGGCGACACGTTGACATGAACACACACACGGAGAGAGGAGGACTTTAAGCTTGTATCCTTTCTATCGTCACGACGACGGAGGCAGGAAGAGGACACCGTGGTGAGGAACAAATTGTCCAGGAGGGCGTCCAGTGCCAGTCGTCGCCATCTTCGTCCCCATCCTCGTCCGAACAGAGGGATGGAGATGATGACGATGAAGACGAAACTGCTGCTGCGTTTTATTATTGTGTTTTGAAGAGACCTTTTGTTGGCTAGTGCTGCTGTTGCTGCTAATTAAACTACTACTGCTACCGAGGAGGAGGAAGAAGAAGGGGACGTTTGACGCTGCTATTTACTTCTTCGTCTGGTAGGAGTAAGAGCGACGCTTGTGTTTTGTGACCTTTTCATCGCTGTCTTCGTTTTCCTCGTCGTCGTCACCGTTGTCGAGGGAAGAGGAAGAGGAAGGGCACCACTTGCGGCGTGCTTTGTCCGTTGCGATGTGTTGGGTGGGAAGAGGGAAGGGAAGACGAGGGGAAGCTTATCTTTTGGGAGGGAGGTGAGTGGGACAGTCTTTTCGGGATGAAACTCTTTCAGGGGACCCACTCGTCGGGAATTCTGTATCCAGAGTGAATAATTGGTTAATTGATTTTTATTTAAAAATTTAAAATGTTACATGAGGTGTAATGTAATGTATGACTTACATTGAGGCTGGAAACCACTGAACGACAGTTGTGCCTCTTCCCCGGCCACTCTCCGCTTAGCAAGGACCTAAACGAAATGACCACAAATTTAAGAATGCCCATAAAGACAACGGTAATCGCTAAAATTGTGACTTACCTGTCCCCTAAAAGTGCAGTGATGCGCCGACGTCGTGTGAGAACTGATGGATGAAGCGAGACGATGTTTTATCAGCTCCATGACACGCTTATCAAAGTAGTCGACGTGTTGACCTAAAAGTTTAAATAGGATTATAATTATTAAGAGGAAATTACATTTATACATAATTCATGAAGTTGTTTTATAATTTTGCAAATTTTGTTACATGTAAATTTAAACAATCTAACAACTCTCAAACCACGAGTCACATTTCTTGCAAAGTTTTTGCAGAGTGAAAGTGAATATTGAGTTAAATTGCTTACCAAGATTGAGTCTCTGCTTCCTGCAGCGCTGCTTCTTCCTCCTCCCGACTCCCTTGAACGGGCTGTTGGCGTCGATTTTGTTGCGATTGGCGGCCGCGAGTGAGAGTGCGCCTCCACAGTTGGAGGCCATGTGACTATTGACGTGCCTCTCAAGGGCCCCTTGAACCCCGAAGGACTGTCCACAGCCGGGGAAGATACACTTGAAGGGCTTGTTGCCAGAATGGTAGAGGACGTGACGCTCCAGCCATGAGCGAGACGACGACTTCCGGTTAAACACTTTGCACCCTTCCCACAAGCAGACGAACCCCACTTCGCCCTTGCTTTGACTCCCGACATGCACCGTCTGTAAAGAAGCGTTAAATAATTTAAGTTGAGGTCACACATTACATTTTACATACATAAGGACAAATAATTCTAAATTAAACAATTGAATGCGAGTGAAATTACATAAATGAGTGTAAATTTTTACATACAAGCGACAAGTTTGACTAAAGCTTTCTATGATTTTATTCGCAAATTTTCTTTGACCTGGACAGAGCATTCTCAAAAAAACTATTATAATTGAAATATTTTGATTCTACGTAAAATTGTCACGATGCAAAATATTTAAACTACTCCAAACTGCGACTGACGTCATAATACAAAAATTAAAATACATATGAATTTGAATATTTCGGAAATAACAAGTCAAATCTCACCTGGATATGCTCCAACAAATTGTACCCCACTCTCCGCACAACAACCCCTCCACAGACACATATCGACAATCTCCCCCTTCGGCACGACTCCTCCCGGGATGAGAATACTTACTCGAAACACTGGTGTGGCCACTTTTAGCGACTCTGCCACCGAGCAGACACGTCCTCCAGGACGGCCGTGGCTTCAACGGAAGACGACGATAAGAGACGACTTCCACCCCCAATATTTTCACGTCGGGTTCATCCTCCTTCTCTGCCTCGGCCAACTTCCGCTTCGCCTTTTTCAGCGTGGAGGAAAGTTGTTGAAGTGCGGTGGGAATCGTCATGGTGAACACTTTCTTGTTGTTCCCAGGAGTGGTCGTGGTCGGCATGGTGGTCTGTTGTTTGCTACTACTCGATTTACTGGTGGGGCTTATCAGCGGTTTTGGCGTGGTATTGGTAGTGCCACTATCCAATCTCGCCTTCTTGGTGGGCACGGCCGATTTATTGAGATCTTCTTGAGTGGGGGCAACTGCCGGTTGGGGCTGAGGTGAGGAGCTGCGTTTTTGTTGAGTGTTAAAGCGTTGTTGTTGTTATTGTTGAGCTGCTGTTGTTTTGAGGCCTTTTCTTCCTGCTGGGCAGCGTGGAAGGAGAGGGCGACGGCGAGAAAGTCCTTACCGACACCACCACTGGAAATTGACCAAACAAATTATGAGTCACGGTCATACGGCATTTAGGAAATAATTGTGTCGAGATTTTAACTTTTTTAATCAATTTACTAGTCAATTTCTAGTACAAGACTCGCTCGTTTGTAATTAATTATTAATTATGTATGAATTTTCAGTTAAATTTGCGTACGTACCTAGATGGCTTAGTTGACGAGGTAGTTGTACTAGTTGAGGAGGAAGAGGGTGGCGTGGGGATGGCTTGCTTTGTTGTTGTTTGCTGTAGGAGGTATTTGGCGTGTAGACGGAGGTCGACGCTGCTTGTGGTCTGCGGCAGCAAGAACAGCAGAGACGGCGGACACGGCTGTCATGATGGACGTGGACGTCGCAAGGAAGGGGACGGGGGTTGTTTTTTCTTAAAAATGGGGACAAGGCGTGGAGGAGAGGGTGCATCGGGTGAAGAGGAGCAGTCGGAAGAGGAGGAGGATGAATCCGCAGAGGGCGAATAGGGCGCCGTGTCCCCGAAGTGGTCGAAGAAGGACTCAGCGTCGCCACACCACTGAAACCAGACAAGAAAAATATTATAAGAATTTATTCCGGGAAATGGATATGGTTTCATAAAATACAGGTCATCACACATGACCCACACCACAGTTTCGAATCGAGAATGCTATCTCGACAGTGTTTTTTCACCCAACTTTAACCCCCACGTACAAAAACACAGCATAAAAAGGAGGCCAACGCTAAGGTGCTTTATGCTTCACGTCAATCGTCACGTCCTCCTCCAAATCCGATTTTTTGATTGGCTGAACTAATTATCATCTACGACAATTAAAATTTTACCAATCAAAAATCGGATTTGGAGGAGGACGTGACGATTACGTGAAGCATAAACGCACCTTTAGCGTTGGCCTCCTTTTATGCTGTGTTTTTGTACGTGGGGGTTAAAGTTGGGTGAAAAAACACTGTCGAGATAGCATTCTCGATTCGAAACTGTGGTGTGGTCATGTGTGATGACCTGTATTTTATGAAACCAATCCATTTCCCGGAATAAATTCTTATAATATTTTTTCTTGTCTGGTTTCAGTGGTGTGGCGACGCTGAGTCCTTCTTCGACCACTTCGGGGGACACGGCGCCCTATTCGCCCTCTGCGGATTCATCCTCCTCCTCTTCCGACTGCTCCTCTTCACCCGATGCACCCTCTCCTCCACGCCTTGTCCCCATTTTTAAGAAAAACAACCCCCGTCCCTTCCTTGCGACGTCCACGTCCATCATGACAGCCGTGTCCGCCGTCTCTGCTGTTCTTGCTGCCGCAGACCACAAGCAGCGTCGACCTCCGTCTACACGCAATACCTCCTACAGCAAACAACAACAAAGCAAGCCATCCCCACGCCACCCTCTTCCTCCTCAACTAGTACAACTACCTCGTCAACTAAGCCATCTAGGTACGTACGCAAATTTAACTGAAAATTCATACATAATTAATAATTAATTACAAACGAGCGAGTCTTGTACTAGAAATTGCTAGTAAATTGATTAAAAAAGTTAAAATCTCGACACAATTATTTCCTAAATGCCGTATGACCGTGACTCATAATTTGTTTGGTCAATTTCCAGTGGTGGTGTCGGTAAGGACTTTCTCGCCGTCGCCCTCTCCTTCCACGCTGCCCAGCAGGAAGAAAAGGCCTCAAAACAACAGCAGCTCAACAATAAAACAACAACGCTTTAACACTCAACAAAAACGCAGCTCCTCACCTCAGCCCCAACCGGCAGTTGCCCCCACTCAAGAAGATCTCAATAAATCGGCCGTGCCCAAGAAGGCGAGATTGGATAGTGGCACTACCAATACCACGCCAAAACCGCTGATAAGCCCCACCAGTAAATCGAGTAGTACAAACAACAGACCACCATGCCGACCACGACCACTCCTGGGAACAACAAGAAAGTGTTCACCATGACGATTCCCACCGCACTTCAACAACTTTCCTCCAGCTGAAAAAGGCGAAGCGGAAGTTGGCCGAGGCAGAGAAGGAGGATGAACCCGACGTGAAAATATTGGGGTGGAAGTCGTCTCCTTATCGTCGTTTCCGTTGAAGCCACGGCCGTCCTGGGAGGACGTGTCTGCTCGGTGGCAGAGTCGTCTAAAAGTGGCCACGACCAGTGTTTCGAGTAGTATTCTCATCCCGGGAGGAGTCGTGCCGAAGGGGAGAATTGTCGATATGTGTCTGTGGAGGGGTTGTTGTGCGGAGGTGGGGTACAATTTGTTGGAGCATATCCAGGTGAGATTTGACTTGTTATTTCCGAAATATTCAAATTCATATGTATTTTAATTTTTGTATTATGACGTCAGTCGCAGTTTGGAGTAGTTTAAATATTTTGCATCGTGACAATTTTACGTAGAATCAAAATATTTCAATTATAATAGTTTTTTTGAGAATGCTCTGTCCAGGTCAAAGAAAATTTGCGAATAAAATCATAGAAAGCTTTAGTCAAACTTGTCGCTTGTATGTAAAAATTTACACTCATTTATGTAATTTCACTCGCATTCAATTGTTTAATTTAGAATTATTTGTCCTTATGTATGTAAAATGTAATGTGTGACCTCAACTTAAATTATTTAACGCTTCTTTACAGACGGTGCATGTCGGGAGTCAAAGCAAGGGCGAAGTGGGGTTCGTCTGCTTGTGGGAAGGGTGCAAAGTGTTTAACCGGAAGTCGTCGTCTCGCTCATGGCTGGAGCGTCACGTCCTCTACCATTCTGGCAACAAGCCCTTCAAGTGTATCTTCCCCGGCTGTGGACAGTCCTTCGGGTTCAAGGGGCCCTTGAGAGGCACGTCAATAGTCACATGGCCTCCAACTGTGGAGGCGCACTCTCACTCGCGGCCGCCAATCGCAACAAAATCGACGCCAACAGCCCGTTCAAGGGAGTCGGGAGGAGGAAGAAGCAGCGCTGCAGGAAGCAGAGACTCAATCTTGGTAAGCAATTTAACTCAATATTCACTTTCACTCTGCAAAAACTTTGCAAGAAATGTGACTCGTGGTTTGAGAGTTGTTAGATTGTTTAAATTTACATGTAACAAAATTTGCAAAATTATAAAACAACTTCATGAATTATGTATAAATGTAATTTCCTCTTAATAATTATAATCCTATTTAAACTTTTAGGTCAACACGTCGACTACTTTGATAAGCGTGTCATGGAGCTGATAAAACATCGTCTCGCTTCATCCATCAGTTTCACACGACGTCGGCGCATCACTGCACTTTTAGGGGACAGGTAAGTCACAATTTTAGCGATTACCGTTGTCTTTATGGGCATTCTTAAATTTGTGGTCATTTCGTTAGGTCCTTGCTAAGCGGAGAGTGGCCGGGAAGAGGCACAACTGCTCGTTCAGTGGTTTCCAGCCTCAATGTAAGTCATACATTACATTACACCTCATGTAACATTTTAAATTTTTAAATAAAAATCAATTAACCAATTATTCACTCTGGATACAGAATTCCCGACGAGTGGGTCCCCTGAAAGAGTTTCATCCCGAAAAGACTGTCCACTCACCTCCTCCCAAAAGATAAGCTTCCCCTCGTCTTCCCTTCCCTCTTCCCCACCCAACACATCGCAACGGACAAAGCACGCCGCAAGTGGTGCCCTTCCTCTTCCTCTTCCCTCGACAACGGTGACGACGACGAGGAAAACGAAGACAGCGATGAAAAGGTCACAAAAACCACAGCGTCGCTCTTACTCCTACCAGACGAAGAAGTAAATAGCAGCGTCAAAACGTCCCTTCTTCTTCCTCCTCCTCGGTAGCAGTAGTAGTTTAATTAGCAGCAACAGCACGCACTAGCCAACAAAAGGTCTCTTCAAAACACAATATAAAACAGCAGCAGCAGTTTCGTCTTCATCGTCATCATCTCCATCCCTCTGTTCGGACGAGGATGGGGACGAAGATGGCGACGACTGGCACTGGACGCCCTCCTGGACAATTTGTTCCTCACCACGGTGTCCTCTTCCTCGCCTCCGTCGTCGTGACGATAGAAAGGATACAACTTAAAGTCCTCCTCTCTCCGTGTGTGTGTTCATGTCAACGTGTCGCCCTCCAGAAACGTGGGGATGACGTTAATCCAAAAATCGAGGATACAAAAACTGCCCTAAACACATTTAGATAGTAGAACTGTGACTTTATTATTTACGAGGGATACACACAATTATGATGATATTGTGCCAGAACAAGGCTGCCTCTCAGGTTTTACACAGGAACAATAATGCAATTTGATTTCCTTATTTATTATGGTTGTTAATTAGGGTAGTAATTTGATAATGAGTATGAGAGTCAACTCATCATCGCATCAATCGCTCCCGTGTCTGTAGATATGTAGTAGTCGTACAAAAATAGTAGCCGTAGTTGGTTCGTACGTTCGTTATCGTGTGATTAGTTTGTCGTCGCGCAGGAGGAGAAGAATGTTTTACAACTGTAACTACTTTACATATTCTCGCTCTCTCTCCTCTTTTTCGGAGGGGGCATAGCATCGTCGTCGCATTTATGTAATTCCTTCGGCCTGGAGTGGATAGGTAGACGAGACACAAAACGCATTATTTTATAGGGTATACAAGAAATCGAAGGGGCTATCATCATCACATATTTACTGGATAAGTACATAGTTAGTTAGGCAGGTAGTAAGTGGATAAGTCTAGGTTTGTGGGGTGTGTTCAGCTTTTCGGGTCGTTTGTTACTTTTTCCGAGTGTTTAAAGTCAGGGTGCACTTAAAATGAAAACCCTACAAGCCAAGCCAGTCACTGCCAGACTCTAGTAGGAAAAAACTACTCTGATTGAAAAAGAAAGGGTTAGTTAGTTAATTAGTTGATTAATTAATTAATTAATTATTGGAAGAGGCGACAAGTACTAAAATTATAATTATTGGATATTTAACTTGGAAAAAGTCTCTATGTGTATTGGGGACGGAATCAAGACTTGAGTATTTTCTGAAATCAGAGACCTCGCTTATCTTATTAAGTCCTCCCCGACCGACGGACGGATGGACGGACATATAAATTGATGATCTATTTATAAATAACCTAACCATCAGACGTGATAAGTTGCTATTACCACTCTATCTATGCACTTTTTAAGACTTTAATTAACTAATTATGCCATAATTCGTTGATGGAAAGTGAGACAAGACAGGTTTTCTCTGGTCGGAAGAAGCAGAATCGAGACAAAAAGAAAAAACTACAAACAGGGTTATTATGAAGTATGCATTTGCTTATCTACTCTTCCTTATCATAGATACGTACGATTCCGATTTTATTATTTATTTAATATGGTATCTCATCATCATTATATCATGATCGTCATCAGCATCACTGCCGGCCAAATTTGTATAACGGGCTAATTGTTGTTTTATATATAGAAATATTTAATTATTTAATTTTATTCCACACACAAAACAAAACCCAACGACGCTTTCATTACGTTTTAATTAATTAATTTAATATTTTTAAACTGTTGAGCATTATCTGCATACTCGTTTTTTTGTATGAACAACAACAACATCAACTCACCGTTAAGAACAACACTTATTAATTTTATTTATTTTACAAGACTAAAATAACAAAAATTCTTGTTATTATTTTAATCATTATTTATTATTGAATAATATTTATTGCTCATAATCATCACCATCATTATAAAAAAAATGTTCAATTAATCGATTTTGACTCAATCGACTACTATCAACATCGCAGAAAAAAAACAAACAAATTGGCGTTGACAAAAAACAAAACGATTTTAACGAACGTGCAGATCCAATCTAAATGTGTTCAATCATGAGCTCTTATTAATCTTAGAGAAACTTTTACCTTATACATTTTACTTTTAAAAAATGGGGAAGATAAATTCTTGTCTGTTTTAAAAATTCTTTCAAGTCTTGTGTATGTACGTAGTACTTTTTTAGTTGGTTGATGATGATAATTCTCAGATCCTCGAGGAGTCGTTTACATTTTTATACGAAAAAATAAACCACTAAATTATTAAACTCCTTTAACTGAATGAAACCCTTAAATTACAAACGAGCAATTATTTATTACTTGTTATAATTTATGTACGTGATAAAAAAAAATGTCCGAAAAAACAATTCCGATTCAATCCAAAAATGAAGAACAAGAAGACTAGAAAAATCTCGCGAAGAAAAAAACCCAGAATGAAAAATAACAATAACAAAACGTATGCAATTACTTGGTAACAAAACTAATTAAGAAATTAGAGGATAAAGAAATTTTTTAGCTTTATTAAGAAAAATCAATCGGTATTAAATACATATTTATTATTCGAGGCGAATTAATTATACGGAGAGAAAAACCAACCTAAAATCATGAAGTTTTGGGTGTTAAATAAATTTTTAAAATTTAACAGACAAAATTCATGAAACTAATTAATTAGTCGCTCCCTTGCTGAATGACCCCTGAAGAAAACCGCATTTTTAACGCGTATTTGTTACATCTTTTAAATAATGATTGATGACAGTAATTTATTAATGGTTGTTACTTGTAAATTGTGTGTTCTCTGGTGGTGGTAAGTTTTGTAGTGCTTTATAAAATTAGGAGCGGAAAGAAAGGTCAGAGATCATCATTATCATCGTCATCATCATCGTCGTCGTCATCATTAATTACTTACTTAAATATGTGTTTCAACGGTGATGATACTACATAAAGATGACGACTTATAATATTTATTATTAATTATTATAATTATTATGATTATTATTCACACTGGAAATAAAGCGTGGAGAATTTATAATGAAAGGAAAACAAAAAGTTTATTAGTGTGCAGTTTGTATTTATTTCTTCATTTATTATATTATTGATTAATATTAATTAATATGTTTAATAATATCGTGGCCGTGCTTATCGGTTGAGTGCGTGGAACGAAACTGAAGAGTCATCCCGAGGGAGGAGGGAATGGTTACAAATTATAATAATGATTTTCTTCTTGATGATAATGATGATGAACAAGTGATTTTCATTTCATTGAAGAGGTAGAACCAAATGCGGATTTATTACTACTATGGCTTCCCTGCTGTTTGGAGGAACAGGCCCTTTGCTGGAGTTGGAGGGCGTAGAGGCATTCCTCCAGACAACCAAGGGTCGCTTGGGCGGTCGCTTTGAGCACTAGGACTTCTCCGTCCGTACACTTCATGGTGGGACCTATGACAAAAAGAGTACATTTGAGTACAACGAAGGCAAAATGCTTGTAACTCTGAAACTGTGCATATGTGCATTGGGAAGTTACAAAAGTCATCCCCGCAAGTCGTACCAACTTTGCGCCCCTTCATCCCCTTAAATTGCCTTTTTACTTTTGTCCCAGTTTGTGCAAATGTCATGACCATGACCCAACTTCCTCAAGTTTACACACAGTTTTAAAATGACAGAATAAATGTTCATTTACCAGAAATAGGAAACCTATCGATACATCCGGCCACGTCGGATGCGGCGTTTTCCGCTTTCGTCAACCAGTCGGTGACTTGGGAGAAGGCGTCTAAAATTGAGGCATTTGTGGGAACAATAAGACCACCCGAACCTTCGCGTAGGCCACTATTAGTCTGACAATTAATAATGAATCGAAATATTAAACTTACTGAATTACCACAATACTAAATGCATATTTATTAAGTAATCAACCTGCGATAATGCTTGAGAATGGAGTTCGGCGACTACTCTGAGCCTCGTAATCCACTCTTGTCTCTCCTTGGCGTCGACGGCCCTCAACTTGTAGAGGTCACCAGAAGCAGCGTGGACAACAAAGGTGTGCGAGTCTTCCTCTGAGGGGGAAATAACCGCTCCTGCGAGATGGAGGCAACCTCTGGGTCGAGATCCGCGAACTTCGCCCTCCGTCTAAACAATCAAGTGCAAAATTAAAATTTATCACACCAACAGCTACCCCCACAATATGATGTATATAATACTCACCACATGATACTCCAACGTTCCTTTGTCCGGGTGGAGAACAAACCAACGAAACTGCAACAATTACATGATCAAATAAACTTTGTTAAATGACAGTTCAACTTTTTCTCTAGACAGTTTTTTCTCTCTCGCTTTTCTCTTTTTCCCGTTCGAGTCAAACCATCGTTTCACAAATTGCAAATACATATTTACAACAAATTTCCAGCAATAAAATTAACTACTTAAAATCATCATCATCTAACTATTATTATCTAAGTTAAAATATATTTGTATAAAATGAAAGGATGTCGAATATTTCCTGTAAATTTGATAGTGGTGAAAGGAAGGAGTTGAAACTCGTGGATGAGTTCACAAGCAGCATAATAATTCACATTAATTATAATTCGGTCATTTTATTGTTGAAGTTGAGCAAAGCCTGGCTGATTGGAAAATTGGGAAACTTGGTGAATGGTTTGATGAGTTCAAAAAGGGCTTCATTCACAGAAAGATATAAACTGTTTCTTGAGTAAATTCTCCGTAATTATCGTAAATAATAATGTTGGTCATACCTGCCACCCCTTCATGACGTTGGTATACTTATTCAACTGTCCTTCATAGTGTTGCCGCAACTTAAGCTCCGACATGGCGAGGTAAAGGTCACGGAGAGAGGTCGAAGAAGTCACACCACGCCGTCGTCACGTCCACATCGTCGTGTTAATTAATGGTCTGCGAGTGACGATAATTGGATTATTTGATGGTATGGTTCCACCCGAATGTCAATATCGGGGCGAGCTGAGATCACCCGCTAACACCAGAGAAGAGTCTCACTCCCTTGACAAGAGTGTAATTTAGTAATAACGAACGAACGGATGGGTATGGCGACAAAAATTACGACGCCATGACCGTGTCGAAACATTACCTTGTCGTAACCCTCCTTGTCGACATAGTCGTTGTGACCTTGGCGCTACAACCATCACCACCCGGGGATTTGAGGGTAGTTGGGAAGACGGAGAATGCCGTTTTTGTCCAGTGGACTCCTCCCAGTGGTGGGGGTGCGGTGAGGGGTTATCGAGCCGTGGCCACACCGATAAAATCGTATGGAGAGGTAGGCAATTGAATCTCATTTATAGATAAGCTGGTCATCAGGAATCATCTCTTAATTATTGTACTGTTTTTGTTTTAGAATTTGGGTCCTGTCAGATCGTGGGAATGGTTGCAGCCAGGTCTAGTCTCGTCGTCGTTTATTACTCTTTCCCCCGCGACCCAGTATACATTAAGTCTTACAAGTTTGGGAGAGAACGGTGAAGTCAGCAGCCCCACCATGGTCACCACTTGGACTCGAATTGGAATCCCGGAAGCCCCACCTACGCCAAGCTTAGAGTGGCAGCAGGGACAACGGATGGGGATCAGTTTATCACCTGCAAAGAGTATACATCTTTTAAAATTAATTCTGTATTTTGATACAAAAACTTTCATTTTACAAAAAATGTTTACATTTTCAGGCAATTTAAACGGTCCCATCTCATTTTATCGATTGGCGTTAGTCGATGAACGTGGTTTCTTTAATAAGGACTCTCTCGTCGGGTGGGAGGAAGGAACTCAGCTTCATCTCCTTTATTATATTGCTGCCCAGTGGGACGACCCCTCTGACCTACCGTACTCCTTCACTCTCGGGGATGGCGACAGGCTGGGAGGTTACTATAACGGGCCACTCCCGTCCCACGGGCATTGGCACCCTGCGCTTGGGTTGGGTTCCACGTGGGAGAACGTAACCAAGATCCAGTACTCACCAACGGGACATTACCAACATTCACACATCACCCTTTCCAGTAAGTCTTTGTGACGCATGTATTCACGTCACCTTTGCGAACTATAGGTTTTTTGAGGGGCTCTCAACCTGTAGTCTAGTGATTGATTGATAATTGCCATCTTTAAGTAATTTGGGTTTACCCTGCTTTTTAGATGACCAGCGAGCCCAAGAGGTCGTTACTGTGGAAGACGGCGGTGTCGTGACTGGACTCTGGATCGCGATTGGAGCCACATCCATCATCCTCCTTCTAGTTTTAGGCGTGTTTCTCCTCCTTAAACTGAATCTCACGAGGGGAAAGTTATCCCGGAGAAGGAGTCGAAGGGAGGCGCACCCCTTAGCACAATCCTCCTCCTATAATCAACCGTCAACATCAGTATCGACCATTTCAGTCCCATACGCTGTAAGTTAAATACAAACAAAAACTCTTTTCCGCAAGTACGTAACATGTATAATTTTGTATTTGCAAAGACGAATGAATTTAATGACTGTGGCGGCTACACCCACTTATCATTCGTCCCTGAGGAAGAGGACTGGGGACGAAAGGCGCTGCTCGGTCTGGCTTCAATCGCCTGCATTCCTCGCGCAGGAATCGTCCTCCCACATTCAGACGAAGCTCGTGGTGGAGCTACTGGCGTGGAGGATATTCCCATAATTGCGAATGGGAAATTCGGCCCTATTTTTGCCTCTTTGCTTCAAGACCGTCACCCTGTTCAGCTCTTTCAGTTGACCATTCCTTCTAAAGTAGGAAACGGTGGTAGCAGGTAGGAATCCAGTGTTTCTGTAACTGATAAGTTTTCCTAATACAAAGATTGTTCCACAACAGTTCTTGGGACGAGGCTTCTTTTCGAGCTTTAAACTCTCTCCTGCTTCCCTCATCCCATGTGAACGTGACCTCTCTTAGCGGCTTTCTCCAAACGGAGGGATATCTCTACCTTGTTATCCCAGGGGAAGGAACCCCCCTGAAGACGGAGCTCCACCGGACAAGGAGCGGCGAGGGGTCGAGGAGTTCGCAGGCTCTTCTTCTTTGTGCCATGGGAGTGGCGGAAGGCTTGTTCCACCTTCACTCGTACAATGTAATGTACAAATTAACAAATTCTCATTCCTAACATTGACAGCAATTATAATTATTGGTGTTCTCCCCTTTTTCTATGCAGTTAACCCACGGTGAGTTGTGTTCATGGTCTGTGGTGCTCCCTTACCAGGATGACTGGGCCAATCCAAAACTGACTGGATTTAGTATTCTAGCAGCCAACCCGGTGAACAAAGTATGTCAAGTGAAATAACTATTCTCTAAAAAATGTATGACTACTAACAATGCACATGTCAGACATGTTTCGCACGGATCTTGTTGAAACCAGCACTAAAATATCAAGGAACTAAACACAAACAATAGTTAGTATGACATTTGAGCACTTCTGCAGAATTCGTGAAATGGCGAAGGTTTTAAGTTAGAGAACACGCGTATTTTCACCATGCGAAACTATACGGCCGCTTTCCGATTTTCCCCTGCGCTTCTCTTCGCCAGGTCATCCGTTTTCACTCAAAATTGAATTAATTAATTTCCTAACCAAGTTCTCATCCGATTTTTTATATTTGGATTTGACACAATTTTTGAACCTTTTTAATATTTAACATAAAAATTAAGTTGCTATCATTGGAATTTTTTAAGAATTTGTTGAGATTTCAGAATAGTGGATTCGATTTTCCTTTTTTCACATTGCATATTTATATTTGTAAACTTATTTATATATTAGACCATAAAAAACCAAATATACCTAGTTCCCTATGTGTGATAAGGGCTAACATTACACAAAGTCATAAGATTTTTGTCATCAAAATCTTTAAAGCACGCCAAGGGAATAAATAGAAACATCGAATGTATTATTCTGAAACAATTTTGAAAAATAATATCCACTTATAAGTTAGTCGAATCCATTTTAAATATTAAAAAGTGCTCAAAAATTATGTAAAGTCCAAATATAAAAAATCGGATGAGAACTTGGTTAGGAAATTAATTAATTCAATTTTGAGCGAAAACGGATGACCTCGCGAAGAGAAGCGCAGGAGAAAAGCGGAGAGGTGAACTCCATATAGTTTCGCATGGTGAAAATACGCATTTTCGCCAACTTAAAACGTTCGCCATTTCGCGAATTCTGCAGAAGTGCTCAAATTTCATACTAACTATTGTTTGTGTTTAGTTCCTTGAGATTTTAGTGCTAGTTTCAACAAGATCCGTGCGAAACATGTCTGACATGTGCATTGTAAGTTTGGTTTTCATTTAAAGGAACGCGACCGCAACCGATGGATCTCCGTAGAGCAGCTTCACTCGAGAACGGCACCTCCATCCGATGCTTGGTCGTTTGGTGTCCTCCTTTGGGAAATCGCCACTTTGGGTGCCACCCCGCTTCATGAGATTAAAACGGAGGACATTAAACGAAGAGTGGAACGGGGAGCGAGGCCGCCACAGTTGGAAACGTTCGGCGACGGCCTCTACCAACTTATGCTCTCCTGCTGGCAGATTGACAAAGAGGAGCGGCCAGACCCGGAGACATTAGCTTGCACGTTGCATGAACTCCTACCAACGGCGAATGTAAGTACTGTCAGCAAAAGACAGGGAATGTACATTAACGCAAAGATTGAAAACTGCAAATTTTGGTGCAGAACCTTTTAAAAATTTAAAAGACATGGATTTAGATTTTTCACTGGGCATGAAATGATTCATGGGATTAACTTGGCTCGTAAATTTTTGCAAACGTTATGCAAATATTACAATGCACAATGTAGAAATATACACAGTTCCAAAGCTTGGTGTTAATGAATTATCTCAATAATTTAATTTACGCACTTGTTAATGATTGTCATTATTATTAAATACAATTGTGTTCACAGGACGAGTTAGGAATCTGGGACTCTTTCAAGTGGCCACCATACATTGAATCTCTAGAGTTTCTCCCAAGTACAAAGTGATCAACGATGTGACATTGAAAAGAAGGACGCTCTCTTACAAAACGAAACAGAAATTAGAAATACACACAAAATAATCGTTAAAAGTATTATACAAATACACCATTTCACTCCCTCCTCTCCAGAACATATATCTCATAGTGAAGGATTATACGCCACCTTTATAATGCAACAAATGTAAATTTTGTACTATGGGTTTATCAACTGCTTCGACAAAATTACGAGATTGATTGTGCTCAGGTATAACTTCACAAAGTTTACACAAATTGTGGCATGAAATTCCTCACCATTTATAAACATTCCGATCCAAACCAAACCATATACTTATTTACTTAAATAACTCTTGCCGAACCGAAAAAGTACCTTGTTTTGTTCTGAATCACAATCACAACACCTTTTTACTTTTTTATGATTACATGATTTTATATAAATATATTAACAATAAAGAGACAAGATTAATTTACAAATTGAGATTCTTGACTTATTTAATTAGCTGCATTTAACTGGTTGAGAATATTGGTCATTTTTATAAAACATTTTATTACTTGTTTCCTGTATAAAAATAGTATTAAGACTACGACATTATAATTTGGAGTAGTTTACGTGGTAACTTACTTATCTAAGATATCTGTACTGCTAAAATAATCACGCACAATTTAGCAACAATGACAGAAAATATGAGCATCATACTCTAGTGGACTTATGTTTCAGCAATTTTTTATCACAGGTTTGTTATAAGTAAAGCACATAATGTTCATTAATTGATTCTGTTCTGTATTTCAGTTCTTGTGCAACTTGAGATCGATGTTTGGCAGACAATTCAGACCAATCAGTTCATTAATAGCATAATATAGTCGCGACTGAGGTTGATATTCACTTGCAATTGATTCGAGTAATTTTAAAGTCAGTCTGCATTTTCATTTTCTGTACTTAAATTAAGCAGAATTAATCCGCCATGGTTAGCATATTAAATCTCGCCACATTGACATCATCGTCAATTTCTTCCTCTCCGTAGTCAAAAAGGTCAACCTCTTCTCCAATAAGCGTTCCGAGATAGGATGTCATAACAGAGATCATCTCCTTGATCGTGGGGCTTACTTCATTCCGGATCGCTTGCATACGATCACGCGCTTTCCCCACGATATCGACCCTGTCACCCACGATGAGGTTGGTCATCTGACGAAGTATGGGCTTAAGTCGATCGAAAAAGGGGAAGATCTGAGTTTCAATTACGGCATGATCTTCTGGGTTAAGCAGGGCTGTCAGGGAGCAGACGGCGAGAACGAGCTGGATAACATGTTAAAAAATATACAATTAAGATTGTACTTACACTATGCAAGTTTTGGTGCAACAAAAACCGGGACAAATTAAAAAATATATATATTGGAATCATGAAGGGATGTACTATGAGTGGGGTCTGTTTCAAAAATATGCCTAGCAGATTTTTTTGGAAATTTTTTTGCCAACTTTAGCATGACTCATCAAAGGGCTTATTTTAAATTAATATTTTGCTTGCCTCCATCTCGAACCGCTCCTTCATTTCATTATCCGTAAATGGGTATCCCTCCACAGCGAGACAGATGTTGCTCAAGACCGTGTTCATGCTAGTTCCGAGCATGGCGCGGGCTGAAATTCGTTTTAGCCCGAGGAGACACTGTATTTTCTCTTTATAATTTTGTGAAATCTTCACTGCCCATGACAGAGCGATCACCACTTCGTCCTGACAATTGAATAATAATAATGTTTTGAACAATAATTATAAAATTGAGAAAGCAAATTTTAATACAAATTTTAATACCAGAATACTATGACTTTGCGTCCGACTCTTTACTCCAACCAAATACATTGCGAAATCATAGTTTTGAAAGATACAGCCTAACCCGAACGCAGCATTCCAGCGATTCTGCAAAATAATTTATTCAAATTATTAACAAAGAATACAAGATCTATAATGTCTTCATGTCTTTCAATTACTTTGTAATCTTGACCCGTTCCGATTTGTTCTAGCAAGTCGTACACAAGATTCACACAAAGCTGAAATATCACCACGGCTTCCTCATCGGTGCCGTGTCCGGGTGGACACATCATTGTAAAGACGTTGCCACAAGCGCGATATCCATTATACCGACCCTATAATTAATTAAGAATTATTACATTATTTATGTTTCTTTACTAATAAGATTGTAATCATGCTTAACCAATTTGTTGACATATTTCGAAATCTGACTAATCATACCTTTATGATTCCTTGATTGATCAAGCCAGCGAACTCAATCACTTTCTTCACAACCGCGTTGGAAATTGGTCTGTTACTCGCCAAGATCGTCTGAGACATTTCGGCCAAGGCCCACGACCAGTTTGCCCTCACAATAGTGGGCTGGATTGGCGTGGGGAGAAGGCGCAGGTTCTTGAATCCAGATATGAACACGGTATCTATTATTCTCGGTGTACTGATCATTCTTTCAATATGTAACAGTTTCCCCATTGTACGACCCGCTTGTGCTGCGACACGCGCTGCGCTGTACCGATTGGGGTTGGTCGGTTCGTAGTGGAAATCGAGTACTTTATTGACAACGAGAAATAATAAGTCCGGCTAAAACATGAGAAAGAATTATTAAAATATGTATCTATATCTCATTCGCAATGCCAATCATCAATTGGAAGCTGTGCAAATATTGCAAAATTGGTAATGAAAACGAGCTGACTTGCTCGAGGGAGTTTAAAAGGCGTGTGTGCCTCTTACTTTGTTTGCCAACTACATGGTAGTTATTTTAGAGCTAAAAATGTCTTATCGACCAACTTACTATAATCAAAGCATCAAAACCAGGCCCAATTTCCCCACAAATATCAAGGAAGGCACACTCCAACTCCGGGTCCTTAATAAACGTCAGGTAACTTGACAGAGCGAGGGTTCGACTGAGTACTTTATTCATATCCAGAGTGACCTCTGCAAATAAGAAGACGACACGTTTTAATTACCGAATGATTCACACTTATTATGCATTATTCTGGGTGATTATTTCTTTACCTCCGCCTGTCTCCGAGTGGAACTTTTCGATAGCTCTGAAGCCCATCTGGATGGCGTTGAGGCACTTGATGCACCCGACTTCTGGCAAGACTTGTAAGGAGCTGTTGACTATATTATTGAGAGTTCCAGGAGAACGAGCTACATTTTTCAACAAGGTATCCGCCATATCGATAACGGTTTCCAAAGTGTAGAACAGTTCGGACGTGGTAAGTGCCGCGTAGATATTCGCTATGTTCTTGAAGCAAACCTTCATCAACGGCGATCTCACATAATCCACTTTAAAAATTCCAGACTCAATCGAATTCCGTTCCAAGATCTTGATCAGGGAATAAGTTATTGCAAAATGTGGAGGAAGACTTATATCAGTGATAAACTCAGTTATTGGCGTCGTCAACATGATCTCCATTCGGCAAGAGAGGTTATGTGCATAATAATTCAGCGCCTGAACACCAACGGGCTGCAATATGGCTGGGTTCAGAGGATCCCCTGCATTTACGACGAAAGGTGTCCCGAACGTGGAATAGAATGGAGGTGGCGGCAGTCCTTGGTGGCCAAAAAGGTAAATGTCCCCAAATTCCATGGGAGGTGGGGGTGGTGGAAGGCCAATGGCTGGACCCATTGGTACTAAAAGAAGAAAAGAAAAATTAGTCTACTACTACAGAACTACTTTGTACAATAAAAACACCTAATAAAATTAGCAAAGAAGATCAGCAACAAAAATTTGCCAACTTTGCAAATCTGATATGAAATATGTGCAAACTTCACTAATATATAAATCCCCCTTGTTTACCAAGTTATTCTGCAAATTCTACAAATTTTGTTCACGTCATGATGAAAAGTTACAAAATGTACTTACTAAATGGCTGAACGTAGTATGAGGGCACATAGACGACGGCAGGCTGCATCATTGGATGATGACCAGGAAGACTCGTAGGAATCGGAACGGTAGCCTGCATCGGGACCCCATTGATGAAATATGGATTATTCATCCTGACTCTGTACTACTCTATCAGATAACCGCTTATCTTCTTCTACCAAATTCTACCACGTGCGAGACAGGAGACTCTTCAAACCGAAGCGAAAATAGAAAACTACAATTTCCCCAACTACGATTTACAGTAAATTTCAACCCCCACGACTAATTATGAAATAGTTTTTGTGACAAGACGATTAGAATTAATTAAAGTGGTGGCTGGCTGAGGAAGAAATTGTGGAGAGCGACTAACTCTCTCATCAGCAGGTCAAACCTCGAATGAATCACCACCAACCATCGCACGTTGAAAGCGAGAGCGATGCCTCAACGTGCCTCAACTCAATCTCGCCGACGGAGAAGGGCCGTGCGCAAAGATTGTGGTGGATTTGCTTGCGAGGGGACATAAGGTCATATTTCAGCATAATATTAGCCAAGGGTACATAGGTCACCACTGGGGTCAAAGTCAAATTATACGAAAATCAGTCACATTCTTTGTGTACTGTCCCAAATCCAGCAGAATCAGAAACCACCACCACCACTGAATCTGGAAATTTCTAAAAAAAAAAATATTGGCAAAATTGCGGATTAAGTTTGCCAAAATTAAATTCTCGGCATTTTTTGTGAAATGGACAAAATTAAAAAATGGGGATCTAATTGCTTTTAACTTTTGGCCATTAACTTTGCAAAGTGAGTCTTGGAAATTTTTTAAACTCTCAAGTTGTGAAAGTATAAATTGTCCATGATAGCTTTTTTTATGATTTTTATGATTACTAATTATTGAATTTTCTTAATATCAATTTGTCGAGGAAAGGAAGAAGAAATCAAGTATTTTAGTATTGCATTAATTCATATCGTATTTGACAACAATCGACAATTTTTATTTTTTTTAAGTTAATTACAAATTAAGAACTAGTAGATATTTTATTTCAATAAAATCTGGTCTGCACTCTGGTCAATTGCTGCTAATTGAGACTAATTTAAAAAGAAAATTTATAAGGTGATCAGAAGATGAGAGTTAGTAAATAGCAGCAGCTCAGCAGAAGACAGATTAATAAAGTACATATCGATTTTTTAAACGGAGATGATAAGTACATCACGATTAACGTCATATAATTTGCGATATATATGTGTGTAGATATTTTGTATATATAATAATTGCATTGGATTACAATATTTTCTTAATTATTAGCGAGAGCGGAGAACGAAGACGGGCGAACGAGCGTTTTCAATTTTAATTTAATAATAATTGCGACGAGGGCGATAATGGGCGAGGACTATGTGACGATGAATATTATGCTCTGTTGACGTTGATTTGACTGGACTTTGTGAATTAACTACGGAAATAATTCTTAAATAAATAAGAAACAAATTATGATCGTTACTCGGGAGTGAGGACTACGTGAATTTAAATAAGCTATTATTTTTGTGGTTGGTGAGATGATGACGACGACCCATCGTCTGACGACGGCGGCGGTGGTGGGGATGGATCACGATTGCGTTGTTTTAAATTATCCAAGTATTCCTGCTGCGATACTGCGAGGACTTGCGCCATCAAACCGGCGTCTTCCCATTCGTTCATGCCTAAAACAAGGTAATAATTTGCGTTTTATAATGAGTTAGTTAGGATAATAGCAAAACTTAAAAAATTGGAAAAGTCACCAAACAGCAAATAATTTAGTTATAAAATATTGTTTATAATTACCGAAAAGTTCCGGAGGCAACTGATTAATAAACGAGGACGTTTCTAATAATTGAAAATTATGGGAATCCGTCGCCGTTCCCGTGGGACTTTTTGGTGGGGATTTTGAGGGTGGTGGTCGACTCGGTCCTGGGAGTGAAGGGGGAGGAGATAATCGAGAAGGTGAATGTTTAAAGGACGGAGGAGGTTCTCCCCGGAAAGGAGAACCCAGCGGAGAAATGTTCGCCCCACCACTTTGAGACGTCTTGCTGCTCATCTTGACTCGTGGTGACCTCACTTCCGAGGACGAGGCAGAAGTGGACGTAGCTGAGGAAGAGGAAGTTGCCGTCGTGGGGGAACGCTATCCGGGGAAATAACAGACCAGTTAATCAATTAGGCTTATCTACGTGGAGGCGTATTCGCCATGTATGCACAAATTTAATAATCACAATCACTCACCACTGCTCTGTTCCTCCGCTCATTGTCCTTCAACCATTGTAGATAACTTTCTCTTGCGACTTGTTCTTCCAGCGCTTCGTTTGTTGCCTCCCAGTCCGTAGCGCGGAGCTTGTCTTCCAACATTGCCTGTTCGATGAGCATGTCCTCACTTTGACGGGTCGCCTCCTTCACGACGTTCTTATCCGCGAGGCCAGGAATGTGACCGGGGAGGCCGAGACCGACCCCGACGGTTGCCTGGAAAATATATTAATATAATTACAAATTGATAAATTATGATTAACTTAATTATTTGAGATGGTGAAGATGCTACCTTGTACGGATCAACCAAACTGTTGTAGTGAACTCCACGATGATAGGAAAGCCGAATTGGTTCGTTGTCAGATTGGTTCGTCCCATGAAAAATGTTGATTGGATCTGTTTTTTGTCGTTAATTAGAAAAGTTTAATCAAGAAACTGACAATTTTTTTTGTCGCATTAAATTCTTACCTGTACTGTAGCAAAATACTTCAATGGTTCGATTGTACATTTCACTCATTGCTTGAATCTCGATGTGATTGCCATGAACATATTCTAACCGTTTCCGGTTTACGTAGTGGTTAAAATCCTCCGTGACGTATTGGGAATAGTAATCTCCGTTGGCGGCCTATGAAGAATTAAATTATTATTAATTAACTAATTTGTTAGCTAATTATTTACTTAATTAAACTTCTCACAATGTAGTCCATGCAATGCTTCCGTACAACGGTGTGCATCTCTTGATCTCCATAAACTTGATCGGACACAGCTCTAAATAGACAAGCACCATCCTCCCCCATCTTTTTGATAATGTAGCCCTTCTTCCGCATCTTTTTTTCGAATCGGCGCTCACGCTGGTAAACACAACAAAAATATAATTAATTGATAAGTCATCAACTTTGCTAAATATTAGTAATAATAATAAGTTAAGCCCCCACCTCGGCCCACTCCTCCTCCGAAAGTTGCGAATGAGGCTGCGCCTCGTACTCGTCCTCAGAATTATACGCCACTTCAGGACTAGATGACATATTTGGGAGACCCTGACAGATCGCGTCGGGCAGGACTTGTGGCGCTGGCGACGAGACGGAAACGTTCGGCGATCCCGGATTTGGCGACGATGTTCCCGACGAGCGACCATGGTCCCCGCCACGGTCAAGGCGGCTATGTTTTGATCTTGACGAGCACCGAAGTGGGAGTGGGTGAGTAGCATGGGAGTGGTGGTGGGCGTTAATGGCGTTGTTGACATGTCTCCGCTTGGTCCCGAGGAGCGCGATTGGGTGTGGATTGGGAGACTCGACGTCATACTGGGCCTGTTGGGAGGCACGCTTCTCTTCTCGAGTATTCCCAAGGCTGAGGTTTAGATTGTGCGATAAGTTCTGACTAGACCATAACTGAGATGAGGGGGAGGACGTTCCGTATAAACGGTCAGGGTTCAAACTCAAGCTCTCCGGCTGCAAAAAGAGGAAAAAATACGTTTTATTATTACTTCTAGTTTATTATTCAATCCTGTTCCTTATTTTATTGGATATCGATCAGCACATAAAGAACGTGTTGATTGATTAAAATGTGTCCAGTTTATAGACTTATTTGTATATACGAAACTTTGCACTGTTACAATTATCTCGGATGATTTTCTAAAGTAGAACGTTAAATTAAAGACTAAATTTCTGTCCCACCTGAATTTGTGGCAGTACCAAAGGATGGGGAGGACGTGCGCCCCACCTCCATGATCACCACTGTCAGCCTCGCCATTCCCCCCACTTTTGGAAGAATTGCCTCCCTTCTTTTTCGTTAGAATGGTCATTCTCTGTTTATAATATCGACGTAAAAAACAGGACGAAAATCGGAGGCGAGGTGGTGGTGGTAATGAAGAAGATGTTACGAATACGCGACTTTCCACATTTGTCCCTGTAAGAGAAATTTTTAAAAAATTACGAAAAATTCATAATTTCTACATAAGTAAAAAAGTAAAAAATCACTCACACGTTGAAAGCACGACAGTCACGGTTTCGATCGTTTGTTCACTAAATTTAGTTAATATCAAACTCTCCTTGGACTAATTACTACTTCAAATTTAGATTTCTTATCAATTTTTCCCATCCAATTTTAAACTCATTGCCAAATTTCCAAATTTCTACGACCTCGCAAAAATCCGGAAACTTGGGCGATCACTAATTGCGTATGTCTGCTTGATTTTTACAAGTCTCTCCCTGCACCCTGTACGGACAAACAAAGGAACATAAAACGTTAATTACGTCACTCGAGTCAGTGGCGAGGCTGAGGCTAAAAACCCACTAAAAAAACCATCACCCAGAACAAAATCAGATACGGATTTCATTTCTACAACGACAATCTCGATTTTGTCACGATGGAGGGTGTGGTTTAAAAATACGTTTTTCCTCCTCGCCCTCACGTCACGTCCCGATAAGCGATTTTCCCATACCTCAAATAATTTCCCTAGGGTCAAGAAGACTCCGAAAACTTGCTGGGTGGGGTTGATGATGTGATGAAATCAAAATAGGCAACATGTAACCTTCCAGAGGGTAGGAAAATCTTGGTGAGAATGTCAATGGTTATAGGGCCCAAGGAAGAAGGAGACCATATGAGCAGTCAAGGTTTTCAGTCAAGGCAGAAAGGCCTTAACTACTAAATTTACTCCTAAATCTTGGTGAACAAGCCAAGTAAGCAGTAAGTAAGGACTTCTGAGAAGCGTCTCTGGGCCCCATCCAACGAGTCTCGAACCAGAGTCCAAACACTCGATTCGTATACAATCAAGATCATGAATGACACTCCGTTTAAGGTTACTCACACCAGGGGGAGTTATCACGAACTGTTCCACAAACGGGTAGGATTATCGTTCCGTAACAATTAGTTTTTCTGAAAAATTTTCCGAAAAAAGAAATTTAAAGTTTTTGCAGTCAGAAACATTACTTTTTTGATGGTGTGCAAAATTTCCGGGAGAAAGTTCCCATCTATATATCATACTGTACGTTTAGAGAGTGAGAGAGATGACGACTGTAGTATGAAATGTGAACAGGGTAGGTTATCATCGCATAAAAATTTTTCCGAAAAAAATATTCAGAAAAAAATAACAAATTTAGGAAATTTTTCCTTCCAGAAACATTACTTTTTTGAGTGGCGTGCAA